TGGGGATCTGAATCAAAAATGTGGGGATCTGAGCCCAGAACGTGGGGACCTGAGCCTAAAAATTGGGGATCTGAGCCTAAAAAGGGGCGATCTGAGCCCAAAACGTGGGGACCTGAGCCCAGAAAGCGGGGATCTGAGCCCAGAAATCGGGTTTTTGGGCCCCAAACCTGGGGATCTGAGCCCAAAATGTGGGGATCTGAGCCCAGAAAGCGGGGATCTGAGCCTAAAAAGTGGGGACTTGAGCCCAGAAAGCAGGGACCTGAACCCAAAACGTGGGGATCTGAGCCCAAAACGTGGGGACCTGAGCCCAAAATGTGGGACCTGAGTCAAAAACTTGGGGATCTGAGCCTAAAAAGTGGGGATTTAAGCCCAAAAAACGGGGGACCTGAGCCCAGAAATCGGGTTTTTGGCCCCAAATGTGGGGACCTGAGCCCAAAATTCGGGGACCTGAGCCCAGAAAGTGGCAATCTGAGCCCAAAACGTGGGATTTAAGCCCAGAAAGCGGGGACTTGAGCCCAAAAAGCAGGTTTTTGGCCCCAAACGTGGGGACCTGAGCCCAAAAAGTGGGGACCTGAGCCCAAAAATTGGGGATCTGAGCCCAGAAAGCGGGGACCTGCACCCAGAAATTGGGTTTTGGGCCCCAAACGTGGGGACCTGAGCCCAAAAAGTGGGGACCTGAGCCCAAAAAGCGGGTTTTTGGCCCAAAACATGGGGACCTGAGCCCAAAAAGTGGGGATCTGAGCCCAGAAAGCGGGGACCTGAGCCCAGAAATCGGGTTTTGGGCCCCAAACGTGGGGACCTGAGCCTAAAAAGTGGGGACCTGAGCCCAGAAAGCGGGTTTTTGGCCCCAAACGTGGGGATTTAAGCCCAGAAAGCGGGGACCTGAGCCCAGAAATCGGGTTTTTGGCCCCAAACGTGGGGACATGAGCCCAAAAAGCGGGTTTTTGGCCCAAAACATGGGGACCTGAGCCCAGAAAGCGGGGATCTGAGCCCAGAAAGTGGGGACCTGAGCCCAGAAATTGGGTTTTGGGCCCCAAACGTGGGGACCTGAGCCCAAAAAGTGGGGATCTGAGCCCAGAAAGCGGGGACCTGAGCCCAGAAAGCGGGCTTTTGGCCCCAAACGTGGGGATTTAAGCCCAGAAAGCGGGGACCTGAGCCCAGAAATTGGGTTTTGGGCCCCAAACGTGGGGACCTGAGCCCAGAAAGTGGGGATCTGAGCCCAGAAAGCGGGGACCTGAGCCCAGAAAGCGGGTTTTTGGCCCCAAACGTGGGGCTCTGAGCCCAAAAAGTGACGACCCGAGCCCCAAACGTGGGGACCTGATCCCAAAAAGTGGGGACCTGAGCCCAGAAATCGGGTTTTTGGCCCCAAACGTGGGGATTTAAGCCCAGATAG